GATCCGTAAATTTGAGTAATTTTGACAAAAAGAATAATGAATTGGTATGATCCCTTCATCCATCCCCATGAATTATCCTTATTGCTTTCTTTTGCAAAATGAAWWATGGTTGTATAACTGTTTTGTAATTATTGCCCCAAACTACTGCACAATWAGTTAAATATGGAAGAACTATGGAACAGTACAGGATATGTAGAGATTTGTAATTCAGAACTTGTTTTGCTTTATATAATAATGCAATTCCCTTTGACACTTTGGCTTTTACATGTCTGATGTGAGATTTCCAGCTTATTTTTTCATCAATTATTACTCCGAGAAAATTTATTTTAGTCACCCTTTCAATTTGAAATCCCTCTAAATTAACTTGTAATTCTAGTTTAGCCCTACCATACCCAAAAATTATGAATTTTGTTTTACTTAAATTTAATGACAATTTATTAGTGTCAAACCAATTTTTTTATTTTCTTTAACTCTGTATTTATTTTATGTTCCAACAATTGCAAGTTATTGCCTGAGAAAAATATATTTGTATCATCAGCAAACAAGATATATTTAGACTCTGATACCTTACATAAATCATTAATGTACAAATTAAATAACTTAGGACCCAATACTGACCCCTGGGGGGCTCCCTGGTTAACAAAATTTTGTTTTGTTAAAGTAAACATTTGGGTAAAACTGTCGCTGTTTTTATTTATTTTTTGTCCTGATGCATCTTTATCTTAATCTTTTTACTTTTTTCGTATTGTTTTTTTTGTGAAGTTGGTCTTAAAATTAATTGAAGCACTATTAAAAAGGTCTTAAAAACTCTGAAATTTAACTCGTTTTAAGCTGTAGGAACGCTGTCTTTGTTTCACTTCTTCATCAAACAGATTTGGTTCAATGGTTTCATTAAAGTTAGTCGTCTGCTTTGCTTCCATCTTATTGTTGTTGTTTATCAACAAGCTGCTGGTTTTTAACTAGATCAGTTATTTCCCCTGCAGATAATCACCTGAGAGATTATAAAGAGAAGAGAAGATGCAAGTTATGTCCCAGAAATGTGGTTTTATTTATTTATTTATTTATTGGGGGGGAGTGTCAGTATTTTCCAGGCCCATAGTTCAGTTGTAAACCATAATCCAGAAGCTCTGTTACCTTGTTGTAATAAAAACTTGTAGAAATAACAGATAAATCTAAACGCCCTGAAATTATCCTCTGTCTCTTTAAAAACCTCCTACCACTTCAGCACATCTTCACAACAATGCTTCGGGGGCGGCGTGCTCTGTGGGCGGAGCTAGGTACAAGTGGGTGGAGCTTTGTACCAGAAAGTGTTCAGGCAGCTCCACAGGAGAGTCAAGGAATGAATCAAAGCAAGTGTGTGTGTGTGTGTGTGTGTGTGTGTGTGTGTGTGTGTGTCAGAGGGCGGGGCTCTCAGCAGGTGGAAGGCTCTGAAAGCACACAACAGGTCAGTGACAGAGGAGACGGAGACGCTCCTCACAACACTGCAGGACCGAGTCCAACAGATACACAAGAGTCGACACAAACTGACTGAGCTGACCAGGCAGCTGCACAGCAGGGTGAGCACAGACACACACACACACACACACACACACACACACACCCACAGCAGGTGATGCTCAGACTCCTCCTCCAGGCTCAGCAGCAGGAGGAGCTCCAGGCCGTGCTGCTCAACACCCAGAATGCACTGCGCTCATGTGATTGGCAGCTGAAGCAGCTGAAGGCGGAGTCAGAGGCGGAGCTCAGTCAGCTGATCGTGTGGCAGCGGCTCAGAGACCAGTGAGTGTCGTCAGGTCACATGACCCTGCTGGGACGCTCTGATTGGTGGCTAACTCTGCTTCCTGTCAGGCTGCAGGCGTACGCTGCCGCCACGCAGGACGTCATGCAGATCCACCTGCTCGCCGTCAGCCAATCAGAGCTGCGCGTGGAGCTCAGGCCACKCCCCTGCTCCACCCTGTCCACCAATGAGCTGGAACCACTGAGGCTTCTGGTGAGCTGGAGCAGCGATGACTGCTTCAGGCTGCAGGTAGAGCAGGTTTTTATTCTCAGACACTAAAACCTGACAGGAAGTGATGTCACCTCCTGCTCCACCTGACAGGAAGTGTCTGATTCTGGAGTGTGTCTGCAGGTGGAGGAGGGGCCGGTGGGTGTGGTGGAGGGCAGCGTGTCTGGTCAGTGGGCGGAGCTTAGTCCCGCCCTGCTGAGGATCCTACAGTGCTTCATGGGTCAGGCTGAGCTCCTGTCTGAGATCCAGAACCTGAGAACCAGGTGAGGCCACACCCACACCTGTCAGTCTGACCTCTGAGACACATCCAGGACCACCTGGAACCTGGACCTTCAGCTCGGTTCGTTTAAAGGTTTCTGTGTTGCAGCTTTGCCATCGACTGGTGTCCCGCCCAGCGCCTGCTGGTCTACCTGAAGTCTGCCTCCCTGGTCTGCCACCTGCAGGTGGAGGAGGGCTACCCAGGCAGCGGGAGGACTCTGCTCCGGTCCGTCCGCAGAGACGGACAGCCTGTGGACACGTCAGGACTGAAGGTAACAAACATCATGAGCTGCAGCTCAGAGACACGTCTGGACCGGTTTGTCCTGGTTCTGGTCCAGGTCTGAGGGTTTGGGTTTAACAGGAAGTCTTTCTGTTTGTGTTTCAGCCTCATAAAGCTGACCTCAGTCTGACTGAGTGGCTGGTTTTTCTCTGCAGCAGCTCACTCATCTGAAGAGACTGTTCTCCTCTTCCTCCTTCACTCGTCCATCTCTCTCTCTCTCTCTGTCTCTCTCTCTGTCTGTCTCTCTCTCTCTGTCTCTCTCTCTCTCTGTCTCTCTCTCTCTGTCTCTCTCTCTCTCTGTCTTTCTCTCTCTGTCTCTCTCTCTCTGTCTCTCTCTCTCTCTGTCTCTCTCTCTCTGTCTCTCTCTCTCTCTCTCTCTCTCTCT